ATGAAACAAGTTATATGAATTGTTGAATGTGAAACTGATGATGTGCCCTGTAAACTTTCACTCAATCCACAATAAAAACCTTAAATAATAAAAAAAAAAAAGAGTAAAGATGTTACTTTGAGGAAAAAAAAAAAGTAATAAACCTTAAATGGTCAAAGAAGTTCAGTGGCCAGCAGGATCCTAATTATCAAACACCTATGAGTCCCTCACTATGGACCAGTCCAGTTTTAGAAGTCCTAACTCATTTAATTATCACTACAACTTTATTATAGTTGTTAAGTGCAACTGAGTAGTTTCTGACTCACAGTAACCCTGGTGGGTCTGAAATGCCATCCTGTGGTTAGCAGTCCAGTGCTTACCCTACAGTTTATACCAGAACTCCACTACAACTCTAGTTAGTATTAGTAACTTCTTTTTATCAATAGTAGAGGTATTTGTTGTCGTTGTTTAGTGCCGTCGAGTCGGTTCCGACCCATAGCGACCCTGTACAGGGTTTCCAAGAGTGTAAATCTTTACGGGAGTAGAAAGCCTCATCTTCCTCCCGCGGAGCTGCTGGTAGTTTCGAACCACTGACTGATTCAATGATACACCTAAAATTACACATAGGCAGTGAGACTGCAAACTCTCAGCTCTTAACTACAATACTGAGATCTTAAAACTCAATTTCAGATACAAATGAAAAAATGCCCAACACAATAAATCAACACATGGTGAATTTTATAACATCAGGGTAAGAGAAAATCTGAATTAATATTCAAAGAGAATACAAATAGGCATCTTGTCTTCTTACTAGGAATAAATAAAGTACTCAAACAAAAGGGAATATTCCAAAAAGAGGAAGACATAAAATCCAGGGAAAACAGGCTAAAGGAAAGTATACAATGAAGAAATTCTACATGATAAACGCTGTAGAAAAAATTAGAAGGCAACTAAATCCATACTGGAACAAGAAGGAAGAGCTCTGAGGAAGTCTCCAAAAACAAGGAGGGTCACAGATTAGATAAGTAGAGTGTTAGGAAAAACGTGATTATAACATCACATAGTCAAAGGGAAAACAAAAGGCAATTATTAACTCAAAAAAGATTTTAAAGCTTTTCAGTAAAAGAAGTAAAGTCAGCAGTGGACCGTATTTACCCAGTAATACCAGCTGTTCAGCGGGAGAAAGATGAGACTCTCTGCTCCCGTAAAGATTTACAGCCTCAGAAACCCTGTATTCTGTACAGGGTCGCTATGAGTCGGAACTGACTCCACAGCACACAACAACAACAATGAGGGAAACTGTTAACTTCAGTAAATCTGTCAAGAGTATACCTTTAGAATCCAAAAAAGTCACCATAACCTTCAGAGCTGACCCCACTGTCTTGAAATTAACAGGTCCAACTGATACCCTTGACTAAACCTGTTTTTTTTGGTGTCTTTTTTTAGACACCTAAATGAGATTCACACAAATATATTACTGAGAGAACTTGCACGCAGCCATCCACTGATTACAGACCTACTTAAATATATTTTGCTTGAAATAAGCCCATGAAGATAAATGGCCAGAATTCTAAGCAGCAATACTTTTTGACTCACATAAGGAGAATGAAATAGACCGTATTTAAAATTGAGAAATCATAGAATTCATATTATTTAAACATATTATTTAAAAACAATGGAAGCAGCTGCTGCTTCTAAGAAATAGGATTTGGAAGTAAAGCGGCAGTGGAAACAGTAAGTGAGTTACCAGTTTTCAGTGATACTTAATTTTATTTTTAACTATCTCTATAGCTTATTTAAAAAGAGCCCTGGTGGCATTACAGGATAAGTACTGGACTGCTAACCACAAAGTCAGCAGTTCAAACCTTCCAGCTACTTCATGGGAAAAAAATAAGGGTTTTTGCTAGCGTAAAGATATGCAGCCTCAGACACTCTATACAGGGTCACTGAGTTGAAATCAACGCAATGAAAATAAGTGAGTGATAGTTAAAAAGTTACATATATTAGGTAAAAAGTCACCCAGGTATGACAACCACAGTAGCTTTTGTTTTCAGGTACATACTTTACCCTTAGAGAGGTCAGCAGTGTGTATACTTCACATGCTCCGATCCAGGCCTTTGTTCCCTGTAACCTGTTATTGAGTTGAGAGGCTCCCTGTGGATCAAACCCTTCCTTCCATGCATCTTCAATCATAGACTGAATTTTAGGAATGCAAGGAATTGACATACCTAAATAATACAAGCAAACATGTTACATGACAGTTGATAAAGTGCTGAATATTACCATTTAGCAGTGTATCATGTACTAAAGAGAAATCTACAACAAAGTTTTTAAGAGTTATCCGTAACACTGGAATCCTGGTATGGCACTGCAGGATAAGCACTCACCAGCAAGGTCGGTTTGAACCACAAGGTCAGTGGTTCAAAATCCCCAGCCACTTCTTGGAAACCCTATAGAAGGTTGCTATGGGTCAGAACCAAGTCGATGGCACTTAGCAACAAAACATGCCTGACATCATCAAACGTATCATTTTCTTTTCCTCTCAACAAAATTCCGATTTTTACATAACGATCCATTAAACGAAGTCTTGGTGTGGCGCTGTAGGATAAGCACTGGACTATTAACCATAAGATCAGTGGTTCACACCGACCAGCCGCTCCTTGGAAACCCTATATATGGGGTCAATCTAAGTAGGAACTGACACAATGGTACTTCTCAACAACATCCACTAAATACTTAAACCAACTGTGTCTCCATGTCTGTTATATATAGTAATTCATTCCATATCTTACAAACTTCACCAAATGATAAATTCAAAGTACTGGATTTCACATACCTTTCAAGCAATCATCATAAGCGTCATTCTGTAACAGTGATGAAAGCAGCATTTGGAAATTTCTGTAGCCACAACCCCAACCTTTGTCACCAAAAGATGAATGAAAGTGATCCACCATTGCAGAAAGCCAAACATGCCTCACATCTGCGGCACCATTCTGATAGTATCTGTGAAGTGCTTCAATAATTCCTAAAGGAGAGAAGAGATTTCTAATATATTACCACTTTTCTGTGTGTGACTTATAAATTTATAACATCAATCTCTCCCTCTAGTGAAACATCTAAATCTGATCAATTCTATCTTGTTCTTTACCTTATAATTGCTACAAAATTAGTTTATGTCCTCGCTTATTACTACTAGCCATGTTTTTTTACTCTAGCATATCACTTACTACATTGTACTGAAATTATTTATATCTTTCATCTATCCATCTGGAGGGCCAAGCACATAAAAGAGTTCACTATTCTTTTTTTTTTTTTTTTTTAAGTTTTTATTGTGAATTATGTGGGTTTACATGGGAGAACATCAGTTTTACATTCATCCTACTGTATTTTGTTTCATTGCAATGATTA